CCCCCCTTGCCCCATCCCCCCGTTGCCCCATTCCCACATTGCCCCATCCCCACTTCGTCCAATCCCCACGTTGCCCCATCCCCACTTCGTCCCATCCCCACTTTGACCCATCCCCACTTTACCCCGTCCGCGCTCGAGGGTGTTACAAGCACAAGCCTCTTCAACAAATGATCGAGAGAGTTCCACAAATGGCATGGAGTGATAGAAAACTCTACAGCATTCACTAAATTAATGTCAACTACGTTGTCCATGGTTTGCTTCTCATCCTCTTCAACTTTATGTCACAGCAATACACTATTCTGTACACATCATTCTGGTAATGGTCAATGCATCCAGACAGGTGCCTACGCATGGGTAAATCTTGGGGCACTGCGCCAGGAAATTTTGTGGAAACATGTTTGCCCTAAGTACCAGCAAAACAACCTAAAATGAAACTCATGAACACAGAAAGCACAGAGACAAGTTACATGTACTACTATAAGTCCAGTGAATTAACTTGAAGAAATCTTGCAACACTGATGTTTTTTATCAATGCGTGAGGACACGTACATGTACAGATACAATCCCCACAGGATGAATTGACTGTTTACCACACTCCATCACACATTCTTTTGCATGGGTGCGGCAAGGCGGGAACCAGCACTTTGCGAACGCGTTTTACTACAGCGACAGCAAAACACGAAAAAGACTCATGAAACTACAGGTAAGTTGCTGTTCACATGCACGTTGCAAACATAACTAGGAAAACAAAAACACAAGTAGGCCTACATGTATGTGATGACAGAAGAGAAATACAATCTATTTATTTATCATTCTTATACTGTATTTACTACATTTGTTTTCTCTAACTTGCCAATAAAAGTGTTAGGGTCTCACCGAAATGTCAGGGTAAGTTGGGAGATCGGAAGCATTTGATTTGGCCTTCGGACGTTGGATTCTCTGACCTTTATTTGAGGCAAAGTGGGAATGGGCGAAGTGGTTAGGGGCGAAGTGGTTAGGGGCGAAGTGACCGACACTCGGATAGCCACAATCGGGGGTGATAAATGTAACGGATAATACAACGTGTAGGCCTAGTACATGAACAATGTAGCTGGTCTCTGAACATGTGACATGCATGTCTGACCTTGCAGCCTTGGCATCTCTGAACGACAAGAAGATACCCAGGCCCTACCATGGCATGCCTACCCCCAGAACTGTGGAACGTTCGTGGGAGCACGGCGGACGTCGGACCCCACAGTTCTCGAGTTAGTAAGAAGGCACTGTTGCAATTATTACCTGTTCATTTCTTCTTCCATCATTTTTCTTTCGTCCATTTCGTCTTCTTTCCGTCCAAGGTGCGGCCTTGAAGTTCTAGGCGCTGCCATTTTGAATGTTCTTTTGACTAGATACATGTACATGCGCTAGCATATACCGACGATGCATGATGCAAAGGGTTCTGGTTGTAATGCAAAAGTATCCGAAAATGGTTGGCAAATAATAATCGATGAGGGCGTGCACGGCCATGGCCGGCCACGCTCGCGAAGCTACGATAAACTTTCACTAGTCTTCTCATCATTTTTTCATCAGCGGTGCTGAATTTTTTAACTCAAAATTTAGTTCCATTTTGGAATGTATAATCAAATTATACACAAGGTCACCAAATAGAAGATTTTTGACAACAAGATTGAAAATTAATTAAGACCATGGGACACTGAAATAAAAGGGGGCAAATACGGAGGCACATTCAGAAGACAACTTGAAAGTCTTATACAGAAATGTCATATTTAATTGGAGAAGAAAAAGAACAGACAGGCAAGACTGACAACAGATTATGCATGAAAGAAAGATAACTACAATACAATACAGTCAAAACAAAACAGGGACAAAACAAAACAAAGACGAACCAACAGACTGAGATGTAACAAAAGTGGATTTACAAAACACTAGAAATGTTCAGTAGAAGAACAAAAGAAAGATTGGAACGGTAAAAGAGAAGGAGCTACCTCAGATAATCAGAGACTGGATTTTTTTGAAGTTGCTCTTAACTCAAGCCTTCCACAGATGACTGTGACTTAATACCATCAATACTATCCCAAAGATAGGAACACTGATGACCTTTGACACCAACAATCATAACGCCATCAAAGTGAGAGGCGGCGGAGGCTCAGTTCATCAAAGGGTGCACACAAGATCTTTTCTATGTCCGTTGGGACTTAACCCGTCCTTGTATTTTGTGTGCCGAGGCCTGTATGATGGAGAATAATATTAAACGCAACATTCCCATTTATGTGCTGAGTACATTTTTTTAAAGGCGTATAATTATTTAATCCCGGCCATAGCACACATCTCCACGGATAAGGGTCCAATATTCACCAACTTTGTTTCGTTTGGGTCCCTCTACGGCTTCCAATCCCTTATGAACCAATACGGTCGATTCACAGTAGTGCGCCTCCAAGAGTTTGCTACGCGTTGACCAATAACAGTACGCGAAATCTGCCAACCCTTTCCAAACGCGCATTGGCGCTTAAATTTTTGTATTCAGCACAAACAAGTGTGGGGGATGATCCAATTGCCCACCCCCAAAAAAAAACGTTGGGGAAGGGGTATATCTCCCATCTTCCCAGTATTTACGCACATGATACGGGTGGAAACGTAGTCCAGTCGAGTGATGTGACTCGAGGTGGAAGATAACAAGACCAGACCATTTCTCCAGCAGGTAATAGTTTCCTTCCTCTGAGACGGCGTCTCCAGCATGGTGCCCTTCCAAGAACGTTCATTTCATTAAGATTGAAAGTTGTCTTCCTCAATTTCATTGCGATGTTAACCCCTTTCTGCTTGGTAATGATACACCCAGAAATGAGATTATTTTGGAGTCGATTTTAGTGAGTTAAGGAGTTAATTAATGCGTGCGAGTTAAGCTGCATGTCGTTCCCAGCGTCGCCCCTGGCTGATAAACAGCACCCTGGAAATCACGGAGCAGAATCGAGTTGCCCATCTATGCTCCAACTGTGCCGAGAGTCGTCGTCTGACGGGGATATACAAAGCCAAGGCGAAAAAAAAGACCTGAATGCATGGTATGACTCCATCGTCTCTGAGGTCTAGGGCCTGAGACAGAATAAACTCCGTCCCGCCTTCAAAGCAGTGAAGCGCAGAGTTGGCCAGCATTCAGCTTCTTCCTCGGTTTCTAGAGCAGACGGCGCTCCCAGCAACTCGTCGGAAGAAACGCTGTCCTGCTGGAAAGATCACTTCTGCCAGTCGTTAAACTTCCCAGCTGCTTCCCCAAGACCACTTTCAACCACATCTCCTGCAGCTGTAGGCTCTGACCTGGACTGCGACCCTCCATCGTTGTGTGAAGTGCGGGCTGCTATCCGAAAGTTGAAATTGGGCTGTGCAGCAGGAGACGATGGCATCTTCGGTCTCCGAGTGTTTGAAATCTGCTGAGGTGCCCATAAGCAGAGCTCTTCACAAGATCTTATCCAACGCGTGGTCCACAGGTATGGTTTCGGCAGACTGGAGGATGGTATAATTCTACCTCCCTATAAAGGGAAAGGTTCAAGGGCGGTCTGCAGTAGTTACCACCCCATCATCTTGCTTTCGGTCCTGGCGAGGTGTTTGTGCTTATTCTTCTAACCAGAATTCGTCCACTACGTGTTTCCCTGCAGAGACCACAGCAGTCGGGTTTCACTGCCAGCCGTTCCACGTCTGACGCAGTTCTTGCGTTACGTCGACTCACTGAACTCCATCACGAGTAAAATCGCCCTCTTAATGTCGCCTACGTAGACATCAAGGCTGCCTTGGATTCTGTTGCCCAAAACCAGCTCTGGGATATCCTCTCCTCAAAGGGAATTCCAAATACCATTCTGAATCTGATCAAAGCTCTGCACTCCAACACCAAAGCCAAGGCCAGGATAGGCAATGACTCATCCCCCTCCTTCCCAACTTTCTTAGGAGTCCGCCAGGGTTGTGTGTTGGCCCCCACTCTATTCTGCGCTGCCATGGACACCGTTCTGTCACAGTTTGAGGCATCACTGGGGATCGATGTAGGCGAAAATAGATTTACCGACCTCCTATATGCTGATGATGTTGCAATGTTTATTGACGACCCAGACATGGGGGGGGGACATCTTGCAACCTTTGAACGGGAAGCTAGTTACATCGGCCATAAACCCTTTTGAGCAAAGACCAAGGCTCAATCCCGAGTTGGACCTTCATCAGCACCGGTTTCCCTTGGCCCCCATGTCGTAGATCCTGTTGAGTCCTTCCGCTACCTCGGAAGCACTATCATCACCTCAGGCGTGTGCAGTACCAAAGTCCTATGCAGAATTGGCATCGCCAGCAACATCTTGGGCCAATTAGATGGTGTTTGGAGAAGCAAGGTGAGTCTCTATATCAACCTAAGGTTTTATCGAGCTTGTGTGCTTTCTGCCCTCCTCTATGGGGCTGAAACCTGGACACTGAGAAAAAGAGATCAAAAACGTCTCCAGGCTTTCCATATGCAGTGCCAGGATTGCATACTTGACGACTAATGGGCTGACTTCATTTCAAATACCATCATCTTTTAGCACACTGGGCTCGGTAACATCGTTTCGGGGGTTGCAGGCAGGCGACACACGTTTTTTGGTCACGCCCGGCGCCTCCAAGGCCAGCTCCTGCTCGTCATGCCCTCGACACAGCTATCCAATTCAATCTTGGACAGTGACCTGCCACCTGGAGGAGGCCCCACGGCCGTCCCCGTCTGACTTAGCAGGTAGCCGACGATGTGCAGCTGTCTCCAAATGAGTGTTGGTCTCTTGCTCTTGACAGGGGTGTCAGGATTATGACGATGATGAGTAAAACTCCTTTTAAACTTTTCATTTTGTGTAACAGATCTCATTCCAACACTTTACACGCGCGCGCAACACACTTTTATTTTCCAAAATTAAAAAAACTTCCGCTGTCCATGGAAGCGTAAAATGTGAACAATGAAACTTCCATCAATCACAGCAGACATACGCCCTGCACCATCGGGTAAAACCAGATTTTGGGAAACTTGGTTCTGTGTTGTTTTTATAGTATTTCTCTCTGAGAGTCTACTTCTTCTGACACACCCTGTACATCTACATGAAGAATTTCAAGGGAACATTTCTTGAAAATCACTTGATGTAGTTTCATGGTTTTTTAGTTAACCCCCTACATGACTATAGCCTATGATGTACACGAAGGTGCTTAATTTAATCTTAAAAGTTGTGGTTCCAAGGTCATGTATCTATTAAGACATGTTCAGGCCTTACTACCATGGTGCTCTTACAATCACAGACGTCACTGGACGGGGGTGTTGGAACTGTCACACCCTTATTTGTTAGTTTTGTCAGCAATATCATGGTATGTCGGCAAAATATAAAACGACAAACGTTGAAAATGGTACCCTTTCTTACAATGGTATAGAGCCTGAAAGTAAAAGGTCACGCAGCCAGCTTCCGGAGCCCTTGCCCAGTCTGCTTATAGGGATTTACATTTGGCCGTCCTATCACGTTAGATAATTTTTGGAAGAATAGTTCCTAACTGAATCCACCCCATGAAACACTCATGTTGGAATTTTACCTTCGTCGTCCCTAAGTAATAGTTAGGAAAGTCACATGGAGATGGGTAAAAAGCAAATGTAATTAACGACCTGTCACGTCCAGCGATATCGTACCTAGATCCCCTTGTTCATGCACGTTTGTTTTCACTTCCCTTGCTTTCGTGAAAATGAGGTTATACAACGTTGCAAAGATTTACCTACTTGTGGTCGATGGGTTTCAGATTCCGTTGAGTTGACATCACGCAGTTGTTGCCAGCAAAGATTACATAAAATTTAAAATCTTTCGTAAATTAAAAATGGAATATCGCTTACGTTGATTACCTTATAAATCATATAAAAATGTGTAAAAAATTTTGATTTTTTTTTATTTTGGCTTTTACCGAGAGACGTTACAAACCGCATTGCACTGCTTTTCATGTATTTTAATTTGTCGGAAGTGAAGGTTGTTTTTTTGGCAGGAAGTTTCCTTTTTAGGTCAGGTGATTTTTCTCTTTCTTTGAATTGATATGCTCGCAAATATGTTCCGAAACCCCTTTCAAAAGTTGGATTTTTTAAGAAGTAACTGAACGAAAATATAACAAAGTCTAATATCTTTGCATGTTATTTTTCTTATCCATGGAAAAGAAAAAGAATTTTTTATGTTTGTCAAGTAAAACTTTTATCAGCACTTTTGCACGCAAGGCTTCAGCTGTCCCATTAAACGTATTTCGTTATCACAGTGATGCAGACAGTGGAACACAGGGCGTACGGTGAATTTCCATCGTTCAAAGATGGACAATGAAGGCTCCTGCTCTGTTATCACTTCATATGCAGCAAGGTATGAGACGGAGAGAACCCCCCCTGCTTTGTGTTGGTCATTGTCTCGCATGAATCTGGGGAATTCCTTTCAGACATTTTGGGGGATGTGTTGAGTAACAATAGTCTGGAATGTGTATAGGGATTGGACATGTTAGGGATGTACCCCTCGGTCTCATTTCTTGCTGGGTATATATCACTCCTTGGCTGGAGGTTGGTGAATAAAGACCAGTTTGCTGTGACTCGATAAATTAGAGCTTTGCATTCAATCTGACGGCATTGTGGGGATGTGTTAAGTAACAATAGTCTGGAATGTGTATAGGGATTGGACATGTTAGGGGGGGGTACCCCTCGGTCTCATTTCTTGCTGGGTATATATCACTCCTTGGCTGGAGGTTGGTGAATAAAGACCAGTTTGCTGTGACTCGATAAATCAAGCTCTGCTTCAATCTGACGGCATTGTGAGACCAAAAATAGCAGGTGAGGCGCTTAGAAATGTTGCGGTACACCATGAATAGGATTCCAAATTGCAAAGAAAGCAGGATGGTCGCATTATACGGCCCGCTAACTAAAAAGTAAAGCGCATTGCGCGAAATAGCCCTGGCTAGACAGATTATCAGCAAGGCCGCTATGAATTGGACTCTTAGAATCTCCTTTGTATCTGTAACCTGGTTCTTTCCTAACTTTGCACCAATGAAGCCTGGGTTAGAGTCCCAGCCTCGCCCGTTTGGTTTCCAGTCCATACTCGCTCGGGCAAGTTGTCTCTGGGTACTCCGGTTTCCTCCTACCTCTAAAACTGGACATTTTTCCTAACTCCGTAATGTGATGCTGATTAATAAAGGTTACGAATAAACGTATAGCTATTAGCACAAGTAGCCTGAGTAGCTGCAGGTGCCATTAAAACAACAACAACATAACATCCTCAGTAACCTTTGTCTGGGGGATTTGTGGGTAAGGAAGGCCCGCAGACAATACCCACGTGGACTCGCTTTACTTGGCATCTGACGAAACAACATGAAATCACAGAGTCGCACTGCATCGATGCTTCTATTTTTTTTAGGGTTTTTCGATTATATACCAAGGATTTGGTTAGTTTCATTTTAGACAAAAGAATTCAACCGACCTTCACTTGAAGTGCGGTAGTTAAAACGATAGAAGGGGCGGACTTGTGGCTGCACATGGCTGAAATTGTCAAACAAATTTCTTCACTTTTTCGGTACTGTTGATAATGATATGCATTGATATCATGTTTATGAAATTCTTGCTGATTTTTTCTACCTGCATCATAAAGCTCCTTTATTTAGTGTATCATATCATATAAGCCCAATTATTTCCACGTGTTTTTAACGGAAAGTTCATCAGGGTTTTTGTGGATTGCCGGATGGCAACTTACAGCTCTTATGCCTTTTCTCACTCTGCTTGTTTGGTCTTTTTATTATAAAACTACTAAAAATAAAGAATGTAGGTTCTTGAGAAATACTTGAAACCTTAACAAAGCCGTTACTCTCCACTGTTTTGGACTCTTTTCGACGCATATCCACCACTAACAAAAAGGGTAACGATTGGTGAATGGTAGTTTGCAACACAATTTCCAGGCCATGGATTGGACATGTGAAGTGGCGCTGTTCATCACACAGTCTTTTTAATTAACGTACCTCTGAAAAAACATGCTTTACAGCTTTAAATACAATTTTTACAATTTACATTTTTGGAAAGTTGTAAAAAGTCACTGTAATCATTTCATGCTGATCAGTGCCGAAAGGGGGAGTTGATAAAAAACGTGCCCCTTGTTAAATCCAAACATGTGTGAGGGGGCATTCTTTTTCTCCGGATTTCACGCTTATGTAAATTACAGCAACAAGGAAGAGATATGTGCAGATGGAAGGCTGAAAGTGTTCGCCTCTGTGAATGGAATCACTGAACATTACATGCCGTATTATTACCTCGTCGGGTAGATACTGTGTTAAGGTGGCTTAGAGAGGTCGTGGTGTATTCACATCAGTTCTTTTCAGACATACAACTTGTTATCCAGGGAATTCTGTGCCGAATAGGGACTTCTGTGTGATACAAATAAGAACACAATACAACCTAGGTTTTCAATCATAGAGTCACTGACGAGCGTAGAAGCAGTGACGTGCTGTGTAAAGCAGCAAGACCACTTAGAACAAGCACGGTCGACAGCGCCCACCTCTACACAGCGTGAGGTGTATATGTGCCCAGTAGACAACCCTTCCTCCTGCCAAGATGGCTCGCCTGTTCTTCCTACTGGTGGCACTAAGCCTAGCTGCTTTTGCTTTGGCACGGGAAGAAAGATTGGTAAGTTTGTTAAAGTAGGCATGAGCTGTACCTAGATTGGACTACGATTATTGAAACAGCATTGTAAGGAGTTCCACACCCCGTTAGACGCCCCGAGCACAAACCGTATGAGACTGATCTGGTTGGTCCGTATATGGAATTCTTGCGGTCAACAATTAAGCGGAGGGGGGAGTCATCCAGGATTTTTTCAAAGGGTCCGGTAGCAACGAGACCGCGCTGGTGAAAACATCTGCAACCATAGCGATGCGCGCGAGCCAGCCAGTCAGATGATCGGGCTACTCATCAATTCTTTCCTTCGATTTGTACGTAAGCGCGCAAGTCACTGCTGTATTCATCGGCGCGGTGTGGTTGCTACCTACCATTTTGCAAACGTCTCGGACCCCCCGGCCTAATTGTTGAGGTTACCACTTTTGACCCAACACAGAGCAAAAAAAAAAAAGATAACTGTTTATATGAATGTGACAGATTACAGTAAGGAAAACGCTGGATTACTGGGGTGACGCGTACCAGCTTCCATTTCGGGGAAATTTATGATAACTTGCAAAATGATCCTGACTGGGGCAAAAAGGAAAATAGGCATTGATAGAAAAATCAATTCCAAGAACTCATTCACTCAAAAATAGCTGATCCGAGTACAAATGCACCGTCATCCTTATTTCAACCTTATAGAACTGTAGTAATTTGTTACTGGGTTTAATGATCACGAGCTTTGGTAGTTATACCATTATCACGAAAAGAATTAAACCGAAACGCATCCCTAATACTGAAATGAAATGTGAAGTTTTCATAAGACATATTAACGAATGACAACTTATGTATCAGGTAAGACTATATTTCATTACCTGTCTTTAATTTAATTGAAAAGTTCTCAACTGATTACCCCTGTCTGTCCTTTACAACTTGGTATTCGTCATAGTTTTCCTCAGGGCAGAACATTTGTAAGTGTCCTTTTTTAGTATGCTGAGCTTCTTGTCAATCTGGAAAGAGCTGTCTTCTCATTTTGCATGTACTCTAGAACGAAGTGAATCGTCATCTTCTGGAATTATTGAAGCGCTTAGAAGGCCGTCAAATCGAGAAACCTGTGGAAAAAATATCAGGTATGTAGAACGAATTTTAAAGTTTGGAGAAAGTGCCAGGATTAATGAACATTGATAACGTTGATCTGTTGTTTGATGAACGTGTTTGATGAACGTGCAGTGATTTCACGGTTGCAGTGCGTGATAGTGGTTTCATCAGTCCATCTTAGAGACATGTTCTTTTGTGCAGTGGCGAAAAACACTCTTGAAGTGTTTGTAAAGGGGGCAATTCAAAAGCGAATGTGATTTCAGGTTTATTCAACATTCTGTTAGGGGATAAAATATAAATCAAAGGCTTTAATCGAAAATCCGTTGAGGGTGTCGTAGCAATTTCCGATATCTATAAGTGTATTATTGTGAGGTACGCATAAGATTGTTTTGCAGAATGCCAAGGTTGACAATGAGATCGATCTTGGCGCGCATCAACAAATCTTATGCCTCCTACGGATAACTTGAACACCACCGGTGCTCCAAGTGCGGTATCAGAGTCATCACCCCAAGATAAGAGTCTCTCTGGCCACGCAACATTACGACTGAGAGTCAAGGGCAACCTATCGACCCCACCTGCCGAACTGATCGAATAATTTCACCCGCACTTCCTACTGAAACTCTATGGCATTGCCTGGCAAGACGGGATTTCCAACACCGAGATCATCAGGAGATGCAACATCACTAGTGCTGAGTTCTTCATCAAATGCATGCAATTACACTGGGTCGGCCATGTTGTACGTATGGGCGATGAACGCATCCCAAAAGGCGCTCTTCCTTGGTGAGCTGTGCAAAGGACGACGATCCCAAAGACGACAGCATAAACGGCACAAAGACTTCCTGAAGTCAACCCTCAAGCTGTGCTGGATTGATCTGGAGAAGTGGGAGTCGGAGGCCAAGAAGCAGCCTCACTGGCGTAAGATCGGGCATGAAGGCCTCTCACACTCCGAGTACATCGGGACAGCCCAAATGGAGGCACGGGGTGAAGCACGCCAAGCTGCTGCCCATCGTCGGCCCCCTTCATCATTAGGGTCACAAAATCAACATGTCCGCCCAGACTTTGCCAAGATCCGCACTTCGCGCATAAGACCGGTCAGTCGTAGACACAAACACTTACCTACGTAGCAGCAGTATAGGAAGAGAGGCGATTCGCCGAGGACGATGACTCAGTCCACCATTTTTTGAGGGAGGGTAAAATGAAAGAAAAGCCAAACCTTTGTTTAACAATTAGTAGTACGTTTTTAATTTAGATGTTATAATGGCTCTTGAAGAATATACTTCTCCATCAAATTGAAGTCCTGCTTTTAAATCCATGCGATTGTTCATTTCTGCTGATTTGTTATGGTAACATTTAAAAGAAAAGTAAAGATACACTTTACTCCAAATGTATGATATTTGATAAGTAAATAAACCTTAAGAATCCATGACACAGCGCACAGCCCGATAAGAATAAGGCAGTGAAGAAAAATATGAATTGAAATTCCATCCACAGATATGGCTTGGGTTGGATTCTAACCCAGATCTCGGATTATTTTAGGAGATAAGGACAAACCTCTTCATCAGGTAATGGCCAGATTCCCCAAGCCTGGTCATTGAAAGCACCAGCATTGGCAAACCATACATAATTTCGTCTTGGTTTTTGCAACCAAGGAGAGTGTTTTCGCAGGTAGTTGTTACATCCACATTATCAGCTGATGTGCTGTTGTCCTTCACTCTTTTCTTTCTCACCATCAGCTTTAATTGGTATAACTACACAACACTTTGAACAATGTCAATCAAACCTGGCGAGTAGCATGCAATTTTATAAAGCTCTATAGTCTGTGTGGTTGTTTGTTCAAAGTAGATCAGTGATGTTCTTAGCTACCAAGCGATTTGGTTTTGCGTTTTGCTTTGAATATTTGTCATGCAGCATCCAACGGTGAGAGGGAGGTAAACCTTACAGGGAGTCGTGACGTAATTGTCAAGCAGAGTTCCGCTCTCCCGGGTTGGCGGCTATGGCTAGTTGCTGATAAAGCAGTAGATGGACGGTACAGTGACTCCAATTTCCTCGGTGAAGATGGGAAAGAGTACGGTGGAAGTTGCACTATAACAAGTAAGCTGGATGTCTTTTGTCTCTCTACATTAGGCGTTCAAGGCTTGGAATAGTGGACATGCCCCTCCACGTGAAGGACCATCCCCCAGGGATGAACACGCCCTATTTGAAAGTTACTGTCATTTTTTTGGCAAGGGTGGAGCATCAAGGGGGCTTGTACTCTGAATATTTTGTAACAAGCGCTCTTTTCTCCCAAAGTTAGCCTACTTTCATAAGGAATGCCCCAAGCACTATCGACCTAATGAGATGTGATGAGTCCGTCTGAGTTTCCCTCGGCCCCGTGTTTACTGTTCAACAATGATTAGTATGCAAGCTTGTTCACATTCACTCTCTGCCTCGTCAAGAGCTCATCCCCCAAATTATTTGTTATGGTTTGAATGTCATGCAAACAAAACAAGCATTTCTAGTGAAACAAAGTTCAGGTACTACCGACCACGGAACCTTGAGCTTACATTCGATAAATAAAACCCTAAGAGTTCCTTGTCCAATGACTGATTGAACGTACATAGGAAGGAGCTCTGAAGGCTCAAACTGCCCCCTTTTTTCCTTGAATAAACGTAAACTCCCTAATGGAGTCTTTTGTTTGTCCTTTTTCAATTTAGATTCCCAAAAAAATCCTTACTGGCGTGCTCACTTCAGAGAAGAAATCTGCATCAGCAAAGTCAGCATTTTGAACCGTGGCGACGGCTTCAGTAAGTCACCATTGACTCTGCACAGATTATTCTGTCTCTGTAGCGTCGGGGCCTGGGCCCAGTTTCAATTCAGAGTGAGGCACAAGATTTTACATCAACAGGGGATTCGTATAGGCCTAAGTATACCCTACACGAAAAGTACTTAAGTACAAATAGTTCGGAGGAAAACTGAAACAAAGGAAATCTCTATACGTGCGCATTCATAGCCACAGCCAGGTCAAACACTGCCACGAAATAGTGATTAAGGTTAGCACGTTTCTTTTACAACAAGCACTGCTTTTTTACCAACTGTTGACCAGCTCTGCGAAATTCGGCGAAGTAGCTTTCTTTGCGAGGCAGAGTAAGAAAAACTGTAGGTCTATACGTCAAGAAGGCGATCCGTGTCATCCGTTCCATCCTATACAGATTGGTTCGCTACAAAACATGTACTAGACATGAAGGTGGCTCATACAGGTATGGGCTTATGTATTTGAAATACAATAGGTAGGTCCAGGGTCTTGAGCTTCAAGATAATAGATAGAGATATCTCTGTTAATTAACAATAGATATCTCTATTCTTGGAATAAATGTCAACTTGGCACGTCTAGGAATAGAGATATCTGTATACGCAGATTAAATGTTAACTTTGCACATCATAAGATATGCTTGAGCCCCGAGCTGTACCGAGAGAGGGCGCATGTTTTTTCCAATAATAAAGTCTCCTTTAATTGGGAATTGCACTTTTCTGCTTAACGATCGACTATGAGATGCATTCGTCGCGCTAACCTTGCTACCTACAAATTGAACACCCCTTGCAAATGGTTCTTTTCATTGAACCAATGATTGGGTGCTTTTGCTCAAAGCAGATAGGGAGAACGACCTTTTGGGGGTTATTCAAGAAACCATCAATAATCGAAGAGTGACTAGAGAGTGGATTCTAAAACTAACCCAGCGGTGTTTAAAGTGTTCCCATGGACATTTGGTTTAGGGGATATAACAGTTAGGATACAATAACTGCATGCAAATATTTTCTGAAGTGTTGTCTCTAGGGGGTGAGGGCTTCTTTATTTTTGTCGTTAACAAAATCATACGTTTTCCTACGGTGACATCCTTCTGTTCAGTGTGTTCTTTATGAAAGAGGCACGCATGAGTGCTCGGGGGTAGCTGTGAATGCAGCAAGGATTAGTGTCTCTTCAAAGAAATGAAATCTCAACTTTTCTGCCCTTCCAAGCTTTAGAATTTGTAGTGTACGAGAAACTTCCAGATTAGTGTCTCTCCTTGGAAAAGCAAAATTCAGCCATCATCATTTGTGCCCCTGGCAACATTAATGTCATTCTGGTATTGATGATTTCTCTTTGTTTGTGGGACCATGTTAAAATCGGGGTCAAATACGAATTTGAAAAGGAAGTGAGAGAAAAATTGATTTCCAAAAAAATCGAATTTTCCACATTTCCTCCTCATCCTAAAAACTGTGACGAAATGTCTGCAGGGCAATTTTGCTCGGCTTTCTGCTTTGGAGGTAGTCGCATTGGTTCTATGGGTACAGTCGGGTGGTGCAGTCAGCGCATTCATGATTGTCAGTTGACGTTGTCAACCAAAATATCCTAAAGAGACTCGGCGTGTCTGTTATCTTCATTACAGACTAATGGTGGCCCTGAAGGGACATGGCCAATCGTCAGTATTTGCAACCAAAATTCAAGACTTGCTCTCTTGCTGGGAAAAAAAATTCGCAGCAGTATTTGGGACCGGGGACGCGAGTCGTGAACTTGGTGGTGAATATTGGCGTCAGTTTTTGCGACCGAAACGTGGGTCGTAAATTTGGTCGCAAATATTGATGTCAATATTGACGATTGGCCATGTCGATTTAGGGCCACCATACCGACTACGGTCGGCATATTCGTCTTAGAAAAGGCAGTCCTAGAATAGTCGGTTCCCCTGATTTCTCACTGATTCTAGGCCAAACTTCAAATGGTACACTTTAAGCAAATTATTTTCCATTGTTTTACCCCGAAAGGCGAGAGAATGACAGATGCAGTGGTCCAATTTGGCTACAGTCCATATCGCAAATTGAATGCAAACCCTACCTGTGGATCACCAGTGACCGCTGAACAAGCTGCAGTGCCTGGAGGGACAATTGAAGTTGAATGCAGTGAACCGATGGGAGGGAGGTTTCTCACGATCGGCATCCCAGCCGACAATGCTACTTTACAGTTGTGTGAAATTCGAGTTTGGGCGATACCAATGGACCAGTGTCCTGACGGTAAGCTTCCACTAGTCTGTCGTTCAATCAAAGTTGTACTCATCTCAGTTACAGTTTCATCCAGCTAAGACCAGTGGCGCAACTATGGGGGGCACCGGTGTTTATATGATTTGGCCCCCAAGATGCCCACATTCGAAATCTTTAATAATTTCTGTCCAGTTAATATAGCTGTGTCTATCTGAGGCTACTTTTTTGTGGTGCCCAGCCCTGGGGTCAACGGGGCGGTGATACAGATCGACAGGTATCACCAAGTATGGTCATAACGTTTTTCCCAATGGGTCAACTTGGCAGAGATTTCTTATAATCCGCACCCCAGGCATACAACACAAGCCCGTAAAATCCCATTGGCTAGACCTCAACCATAGCAGAGTTATAATCCTTGGAAGATCAGTCACCACTTCAAGGATCAAAATGGTCTTTATCAGGAACTAGGTCTCTCCGTGTACAGACAAGTGCCGACTGATCACGGCTGTTTGGGTTTTGACCTGGTATTACTTATACTTCCACAGCAGTATGATGAAATGTAGTCAGAGGGGACCTGGGGTGTATTAGCTACCATAAAATAGTCGTGCGGGTTCAGCCAGTACCGGGAACTGACCCGGTGACGAGAATCTCACTGTTCGTGTTTGGGCGTGGCTCCTCCGAGGGTTGTGCGCACCTCAGATTACATTTAGCCCTGTTTAGCCCTGCGGTCACTGTGTCGGTCGTTAGCCACACACGAGCTGGGGAAATCTAGGCAGCTCATGATGAATGAACTCTATAAATCAAGAGCAGTTTGCACCAATCATTACCCAAACCCAGTCATACTGGTATGCTCACCAGTACCAATGTGAAGGTTTAATTCCATCTTTCGTATGGTCATTTGAAGTTGGCCAATACATGTGCCAACTGGGACACATTAGGCACGGCAGTGGAAGGTGAACCTTTTGGGCTGAGAACTCTGGAAAAAAATAGTATGTTCAATTTTCACAAAAAGGGTGTTGAATATTCGAAAAGAGAGGCTAAATTCTTGGGAAAGAAAATGCAATATGTAAATATCGGGGGAAAATGAGGGACGATACTGTCCCCCAGCTCTTTAAGAGTAACTGTTAGAATTAGTATGAGACTCTGTGTGAACAGCATCTTAACTAGGTCAATTTGAAAACAAAAAACCTGAGGGCCTTATATTCGGGGGCAAAGGGGGACAGTTGATTGCCTGATGTATGTCATCATTAGTTATGTAAAGCCACGGTATTATTTTTTATAAGTCTTGATTTAGGAATTCTGGAGGACCTTAACTGTGTCCTGAATGGGAGACTTTGAGACGGATGGTGGCAGCAGACAAACCCGTCCTTTTCCTCGGTTGTGCGCTTGCTCATAACTAACACGCATGCCTAGAACTGCACGCGCATGCCCAAATCAACCAAAAAGGGTCGTTTTGTCTGCCACCACCATGCGTCTCGAAGTCTCCTATTCCAACATCTTAAAACGTTTAATTCACAAGGTTGAGTAAAACTTTTAAATTTTGAAGTTCCCAGATTACGATCGGGTGTTATAGTATAGACCTGTCAGTTATTAAAACCAAAAGTTTTTAATATCAATGCAAGTGGTGCTGATAGCTAGCAAGCTAAAAGTCACTTGCAAAGACAAGGAAATAAATCATTGTGCAGTTTTAAAACGAGGAGTAAGTGGCAATTTCTTGACATTCAACTTTTGTGAAACCTTGGTGACTTGTGCTTGGTCGCTATGAAGGGCACATTACACTGATAACGTACTCTACAAAATGATATATATGCACTTTCTAGGGGTTTGGTTGGCCGTGGCCCCTTTAACTATACATGAAGAGTTTTACTTCCCCTCAACTTATTTTCAGTTCCTGTGTTACATCAGGAGATAAACTTCTGAAGTGCGTACCATTGCATCCTACTAACCCCCAGAAGAATCGGAATTGGTCCCAATTTGGAAACGATATGCTTCATTTACTTCACTGGATAATATTAAAGTCAAATTAATTAATTGCTACCCCACCGTGCTAATTGTTTAATACAAACCCTCTTGGTTTTATCCTTGTTGTCTACAGAGATAAAGGCTGAGACGGAATTAGACGTCGAACGCACTTCAGTGGGGCAGTCGTCCATTGTCGGAAATGAATATTCTTCACGTGCTGCTCTCAAAGTTAGAGATGGCCAATACAATAATAGCAATCTTCTCGGTGAAGGAGGAGAAATGTATGGTGGAAGCTGCACGATAACAAGTGAGCCTTACATCAGGTTCTTCAAAGCCATCCTATCGGAATGCTTGTATCTTTGCGTTCGTGCCATTCCAGTACAAACTAGAAACCTTCATTAAAGAACTAACCTCTTCAAAACGTCTTGGAGACGAAAGGAATTAAAAAATGAAACCAGATTACACTAATAATAAGTTGTAAGCTTTTTACCCACGCTGAATTTTCTGGAAGGTTCGTTAACAGAATAGTAACAACTTAACGAAATTTAATCTTCTGGTGATCTTTCATGTTCAGAAGCTCAGAAGGATCCCTATTGGGGTATGATGTCTTTCAAGGAATACTGCTTCAGCAAGGTCTGGATTTTAAATCGTGGAGACGGATTCAGTAAGTCGGTAGGGTAGTCTCGGTATGATTTGGGTCAGAGGTGGATATATTATTTTAGCATGATAAAGATTTCGTGCATTTTCTGAACCCCTTTTTCCGCTAATCGAGGTTCCTTTTATGTATGTATAACCGTAAAGTAGGACTCCTGGAACAGCCAATTTGTTCTCGATTTGTTCTTGGTCCTCATGATTTTGTTTCTTGTTCCTCTGTGCCTGCCTTTTTAAGATTGTTGCAATCTAGCAGAAGCAAAGTCGAAAGTGTTGCCATTATATTCGAAGTTACAGTTGACTTTCTATGTGCTCCTGCTAACGATTCTTTACAAGGTGGCCGTGTGAACACACCAAAACTCACTAAATCAATGTCCCACTTAGCCTTTGGGGAAGTTAACAAGTTGTAAGTTGACACTTCCACGTCGCGTAAAGGTTAAAGTTCCACATGAAGATGATCAAACATTGATAAACATTGGTGTCAAGTGGCTCCTGGCCAAATTTATATTGCCATTTCTTTATGATAGATGGGACTTTGCATTACCTTGTGGTTGAAAACGTTTGAAAGTCAATGGTCAGGCACTGACAGAATTATAAAGGTGTAGGTAGCTCGCGACAGAGTACTAAAAAAAGCAAATTTGCCGAGCCTGTATTAACCACCTCCTTGGAACGGTTGTTTCCCACCATTTTTCTTGCAGGTGAGAGATTGACAGGTGCAGTGGTCAGGATTGGCTCAGAAAAGTCCACTGACTTGAATAATAACACCGCCTGTGGATCGCCAGTGACCGCTGAACAAGCTGCAGTACCAGGAGGAACGATTGAAGTTGAGTGTAGCCACCCAATCAAGGGCTTTCTTACAATCATTGGCATTCCTGCTGATAACGCTACTTTGCAGCTTTGTGAGGTTCGAGCTTGGGTGGTTCCTATGGCACAGTGCTCTCCAGGTATGCTTTTACGAATGATTTCTCAAAGGCAAGGTTAGTGTACACGTCGAGACTAGGTTTCGAAAGGCAGACCTTGCACTGGCGGATTTTCATTCCCAAATTCCTTCGCATGCACCTCATCTAGACTACGCATGCACTGTAGGAAAACTGAACTTGCTCACTTGTTTCCATGATGGATTTTAATTATATATAACGGGTTTGCCCTTACCCAACGTATATTAAGCACTGTATGCTCAGTGCTCGTCCGAGAGCTTGCGAAAAGAACAAGCTTACTCGGGTGGGACTCGAACCCACGACTTCCTGCTTTCTAGTGCAGATGTCTTAACCACTCGACCACCAAGCTTGCCGGGGTCGGCTGGCCGGTCCCAGTCAAATGAAGCAGCGGGTACCGCGAACTATTTTCAAGATGTATTTTTGCGTTGGGGAGATGTTAATTANGAGCTTGCCGGGGTCGGCTGGCCGGTCAGAGTCAAATGAAGCAGTGGGTACTGCGAACTATTTTCAAGGGATGAAAATGATTGATTTTATTAATTTTTTATTTATTTTAATATAATTGTCGTAATGCTTATGAAAATTAAAGAGGGTTCACCTTTTCTCAACCCTTCAACCCTTAATGCGTGTGAAACGGTAATCAAATGCTTCAGATAATCGGGTAACAATTGCCTATCTGACGTCTGCCACACCAAATTAGATACTTCTGCTGTGAAAAATACACTTAATAGTACAGTTAATGGTCCACAGAATGTTTTCTGGTCAGCATGGCATTAAAGTTGATTCAAAATTTAATTTCCAAACCCCTATTTTCATCAATAATTAACCACTTTAAATGATGATTTTGTCCATTATTACATTTTAAGATTTTGAGGAGTGTAGCAGTGATCCGTGTCAGAATGGTGCTACATGTGTGGATGGAATCAATAAATTTTCCTGCACATGTGCTGCTGGTTTCACTGGACCTCTCTGCGAATCTGGTGAGTTGAATTTATTATGCCCCGGATTAAAAGTTAAATCTGTTTGTGAGCGAGGCCTGCAGGTGTATACTGCACAGGTAAACACCAATTCTTACAAAACTTAAGTGACCAACATTCAGTCAATACACGATACAGGTAATGTGGCACATATCAATCCAACGGCCAGTCTTCATTGTGGTTTGCTCGCTCAAATTAACCTGCGGGACTCGATTTGTTCAAGTATTCACTTTCTTGCTGATATTAATGCTTACTTTATAAAACAACTGGTACTGCAGAGGATGGTACTGTTTTCCAAAGAGATATCAGTAGGTTGAAGCTATGATCCAACGAGTTGAACATGTAATTCAATGTCGGGAATATCCTAGTCTGGCAATGTTCCATCTTTTGAAGAACATGTATGGAGACTACCTTTACTATATGGGTTCAACTATTCTTGCAACTCTTTCAAAAAGCTAGTCTACCTTGGTCTCTTTACACAAATCCTTCCATGGAAGAAACCCTTTGATAAAATCACTGATTAACGCTAACAAGAATTTAAGTCTGGTTCGTGGCAACTTGAAACACTGCTCCAAAGACGTCAAGGAGCGTGCATGGGTTGCCTTAGTCTGTCCTGGGCTGGAATACTGCCGTGCAGTTGTATATGGGCATTGGTCTCCTCTGCTTCAAAATCCTAGTTCCCACCCATAAGCCACGAACGAGTGTGTAAGCAAGCTTTGCACGACTTGTGTCCGTGATAATGAAGTATATTTGTAGCTGTATTTACTTGAGTGTATTCGGACTTAAATTAGGACTTTCCAAGGCCCCACGTGTTTCAAGTATTACGCTTTACATTGGTGTACTCAGATATTGACGAGTGTAGCAGTGATCCTTGTCAGAATGGGGCTACATGTGTGGATGGTATCAATGAATTTTCCTGCTCTTGTGCTGCTGGTTTCCTTGGAACTCTCTGTGCAGATGGTGAATGCAAGTTAATTAAACAAGATAAACTGTTTCAACTGTAAATGCCCCCGGGCTACAATGGCGCCTTAAACGAAACCAGCAAGTTACGGACCAAAAGGTGTAGCTACCTTCTTTTCACTTTGATGATATTTAAGTACAATTAAAATCCTTCGAAAGAACTTGAGTACGGGAGGGATACGCAAACAAGTCGGTTGTCCAGTGCTCACAAGGAGATTTCAATAATACGTTTAACTTTTTTTCCATAGAAATTATCGGTTTGCCCTTTAATGTGTACTTGTATCGCATAAGGTTTTAGAAAACACTGAAGCTAGCTAAGAGCATTACGATAGGAGCCCTTGATTTTCTTCATTCACTGATATCTTGATTGAAGTTCAACCTCTGATACCGATGAATGTTTTCTCCCAGATGTCGACGAATGCGGTAGTGATCCTTGCCTGAACGGTGCTACTTGCGTCGATGGTGTTAATGAAGTTTCGTGTACCTGTGCTGCAGGATATTTAGGAGTTGTTTGCGAGATTGGTAATTACTTTCACGTTTTTGCAGTGCTACCTGTGAATGTTCGGTGACTTAATCCTGCACGAGAGAAGTAAATATCCAGATATACTTCTCGAGACATGTCACGTGTTTCTGGCATTATTTTTCCCTATAGATATCAATGAGTGTGACAGCAGTCCTTGTCAGAATGGTGTCTGTATTGAAGGTGTCGATAGCTTTAGTTGTGAATGTTTTCCTGGATACGAGGGTGTCACTGCGAAACAAGTAAATTTACTTTTATCCCTGAGCCATTTCAATCTCCATTATTTTCCTCCATTTTGTTCAACCCTGTACCTTCATTGTTTTGATGCAGAACATATCGCCACCAACACCACGAACTGAGACACATCTTCACTTTTGTGTCAATTCATGAAAACCGTGATTACAGCAGTTTGGGTTTCACGAAGTGACACACTCGTGCATTATCGAGCAATCTCGTTTTCACGAAGTAGCACAAATGTTTTTTGTCAACAAAGCATAGAAATAAAGCTTTAATTATCTAAAACGATTTTATTCTACCCGCAAATGGGTGACTTAACTGAATAAAATGTTTTTCAAACGCGTGACTGTGTAAATTAAGGGGCACGTCTGAATACGACAAATCACGAAGCACTTGACCAAAGACATTTGTGTGTCTTCGTGAAAACAAAATATCACATTTCTATAAAATACGCGTTGAAGCGAGCACACATCTGTAGATTCGTGTTACTTCGTGGTGTTGGTGCCGATATTTTGTTGGCCTTGTCCTTTAAATACATTATTGGTAAATGACATTTTCCATTGTGTTCCTGTTCTGTAGATACCAACGAGTGTGTCAGTAATCCATGCCAGAATGGTGCCACCTGCGTTGATGGCATCAACAAAGTCTCGTGCAAGTGCCTTGAAGGCTTCACTAGATCTGTCTGCGAAACTGGTATGAAGGTTATGGACTTACAAATTAGTTTCCCTATACCACATTTCAATTTTGCATTGGAATGTTCCATTGGAAAAGAAATGGCTACAAAGTTTCATTGTTTAAACTTGAAACAGGACAAAAGTCGGAATATGACGGTTTAGCGCCCTCTCGTGCTGATTTTCAATGCCTTGGGTATTTTGGGGGCACTCGGGAGTCGGAAATGACACGCGTTTTATCTGTAATTGTAGGGGTTACCGGGGGAATTGGTGTGACAGGTTTAATAAAAAAAATCCTCCATAGGTTCTCTGTCATTGACTAATATTGAATTAGAAACCCTGCGTCGCGTTCTGATTCGATTTTTACATGGTTGCTCGAAGCTGCTCGTTTGGTGAGTCCGTATCATTTCTCAGGGCTGCAGAGCCCTGAGTCCGTCCTAAAGGTATATAAATGCTTCAGTGGTTGTCCCCTAGCCTCTACAGCTCTTAAAAACCACCAAAAATACATCACAGTACAGTGGGGGGGGGCCTTTTACCAGGCTATCCTGATTTGAATGGGGCCTCACCACCACAACACCCCCAACAAATTAACACTTCAAAGACAGCCGAAAGAAGCCTCTGACAAGTTCCAGACAACTGTCACTGATAAGAAACATTCCACTGCCTGGCCCAGGCGCTGTTTTGTAAATAATCCATTAGGTTGTACACAAGGTGCCACTTAACACACTAAAAAAAACTCTAAAATTTAACCTGTTCCTTGCTCTGGTCTGTAGCTGTTAGAAAGATGGATGGATGCACCACAAATCCATGCAAGAATGGCATTTGTATTGCCTACGGTGTCGATGGCGTCAAGTGCGCATGCGCCCCGGGTTACCAAGGCACAATCTGTGAGATCAGTAAGTTATTATTTTGTTCGATTTTGACAGCAGCTTTTGTTGTGTACTCCCCTTTGTACGAAGAAAATATACCAAGCAATATTTCCCTTCTGCTTGTAAACGGCGTATCAAAGCTCAAATACATTACCCGTCTTTTCAGAGTTTTTCTTCTTGACAAAACCTAGATATTGACGAGTGTTCCAGCAATCCATGCCAGAATGATGCCAAGTGTGTGGACGGTATTAACAAGGTGTCGTGCATCTGCGCGTCGGGCTTTTCTGGAGAGCTTTGCCAAATTGGTAAATTCGTTTAGTCTGTGCATATACGCTAAGTATGTTTGTCGGCAAAGAAGCGTAAGGAGCCCGGGAATGGCTGAGAGGAAAGTCGAAGTATATTTGGCATTCAGTTTGTCGACTTTCGTCTCTTGCAAGAGCGACAGAGCAACGGTGCGTTTGTTCAGCAAATTCTGGATCATGAATATAATCAATGAAAGGGCAATTTGAAGCCACGCCCACGTGCCGCTTTGTTTCAACTTTCAGCTTTGTTTTCCCTAATTTTACACACAATGGACTTCAAAATTTTCGGGTCATAGGCCTTCAGAACGATACTTGGGTAGTGTTATTGATTATGATGAAATGCAGGGGTAATGTTGATGTTTCCTATTACCACAGAACAAGCCGATGGACTGCCTGATAATTTACCTCAGCTGCCCCAAGGTTTCTCTCTGGCAGGTATGATCATTGTTTGTGTTTGTTTTGAATTCAAACATGTCTAGACGTCAGGACGTCATATCCACAGGATATCACATTTTTGGTTTCTTTTATGAAACCTACTTTCTTCTCATATTTGACGCACTAAACTGGAACAGGCCAGCTCAAGAGAGACATGGCTAAAAATGATCGATTTATCGTTACCAAATGCGCGACAAGTTGATCGTATTTGTATTTTAAATCTAAATACTTCTTGTCTTTTCAGGCACTAAAGTTGAAACACAAACATCCTACATGCAAGTGAACCTTATCACCGAGTACTGCATCAAGAAAGTCATCGTTCATAAGAGTGGGGATTGCACCAGTATGTAATAGTGGTTGTTATTGAAAGCTGAGCTAATTCATATTAGTGACATTACTGAAATCAAAATACTTGAACTTGCTCTCAATCGAATCGAATTTCTCGAAGTCCTTTCAAAGCAGAAAAATTACAAGTTTTTATCATCAGTGAAAAGAGAAGAAAAAAGGAAAGGAAACGTATAGCCTTCATAATGTTGGACAGAACTGTGGTTGAAAGGACTAGGCGATGAATGAAATTATCGTTTGTTCATCTTTCTTTTGGTCATCTTTTTCATTTCCCCCTATTTTTAGTTCATTCACTTTCACCTCTCATTGTTTGTTGCTGATGATAACATCCTACTATTTCACAAAATAAGCGCAGGGCTGTTGTAACTGAAGTAATAATCAGACGTTCACATTAGCTACACGGCTGAAAGTGAATTAAATTCTTCTGGTAATGCTGTACAGCATAAGTCACTTCTTCAGATACATCGTAGCCTTGCCTGTGTTCATTCAACCCCTTATCCCAACAGGCAACCGTCTGACTGGTGCTGTAGTCCGTGGTGGGACCAGCTCTACCAGTCTGAACAACAGCGTATGCGGCACTCCCCTGACCGCCCAACAAGTTGAAATTCGTAGGTCTACCGTAGACTTCGTCTGTGACCCTCCCATGACAGCCAAGTTTGTCACCGTGGACATCCCACTGTTGAGAGTCAGTCAAAAACCGCTGTGTGAAGTGACAATTGAGCAGGCAACGCCTGGACCGTGCTAGAATTCAACTAGTCTGACAAACATGAGTGTAGTTAAAACGTTAGAGGCCCTTTCATTTCTGGTAGCCTACCAGTCTTCAAAAAAAAAAACCAAATGCTGTGATTCCAAATGGTTGTATTGCCTGATTTGTCCTTTTATTGAATTATTTCTTTTGTTAATTTGCTTTTATTTTGCATGCTCATAACCATTTACACACTCAGTATTAAATATATTTACTAGACCACTGTACAGTGGGCTTTCCCAGTATTATTCTTACGCATCGGTGTACGGCGAAATTGCAGATTACACATTTAGTATTAAATGTATTTACTAGACTGGTTAGATTAACTAGATAGTTAATCAACTACTAACTCGAACTACTGACTTACGTATCGTTAAATGTCCTGCTCTACTAATTCTTGAATCAACGTTTAGTCTAGTTTTGATTTTTGTTATTTACGTGAGTGACAAAATATAGTCAGTAAAAGATACACCTGTTTGTGTTTCCCTGGATTGATAATTGTTCCACTGTGCAGTGGGCTTTCTCTGTATTATTTTTACGCATCGGTGAACGGTGAAATTGCAAAAAGAAATTTAGCTGCAGCTACCACACCAGGTAGCCGTCCGCAAGGAAAAGAACATCTTTTGTAATGTCAAGGATGCAACGAGCTGATAAACTGGTACGAGGAGAATGGTAACGTTTGATGTGTGACTTTAACCAAACTAGCATAATTTCTGACATATGTGTCGGTCCTATTGTTTCATGTCTAATTACTGTGTTATAATACCTTATTCCATTAAAAATATTAGCAGCATGATCAATCAGTTAATTTGCTCTTCGTTTACCTCATTTCGGTTGTGCTATGATTGTACATTTCCATAATTTCTTAACAAATCTTTGGTATCTGTAAAACGCCACGAACCCACAACTGGCGATTCGCCAAAAAATATTCGATATTATTCGCAGTAGTGTAACATTGGATTTTAAAATGATTTTGTTCCAGTTTACGTTTTACCACATGTATCAGCCATAGATGGCGCTCATAACCCTTACCGGCATGCAAGTAACTTACCCAAGAACCAAATTCCATCCATAAATGAAATTTGCTCATCGCCCGCCGTCTGTACAGGCTACTGGGAAGGGCATTGGGTTAATTTGAATGATAGCAAAGTATGGCAAAGCTAACACGTCCGCACAGCGTGTACCCAGTACACTTGAATAGGACAGCAAGTACACCCACGACACTTTCAGCAGCAAAGTTTTTCTTCCTCCATACTTCCGGAAGAAAATACTTTTCTTTTCTAAATCTTCCTCATGTTCAAGGCAAATATTGAATCTTGTTCAAAACAAAACAGAGACAAATTAGACATGATTTGAGCACGATTGGTAAGGCTGAGCTAGCTTCCTCGCACATACCACATCTGTTATCACGATAACACTCCTGACCAACAAATCGCTAATCGTGATAAGAGTGTGCCTTTAAATTTAAATCAAGCTTTTTGATATCTGCAAAAAAAGTTTCGTTCTGTCGAAATAACTGAAATAAAATTATTGCAGGATTGCAAATGGTAAAAAATTACCATATCACCCAAGGCTATTTTTCTAGGGATGACCACGTTGCGTAGTCGAGTTGAACAAGATACGGTCAAGATACTGCTCGTCGCTGTTCAGCACTGTATCCTACATGCCAATCGTTCAAAATAAAGCCGGGACTTCGGGCTTTGCAAGGACCTACATTCTCATTGCGGCGGACTGTAACAAAAGAGCGTCTCGATTTGGTTGATATATGCGTTTCTGGCCTTTTCTGCCTTCCATGCATCTGCCGTGCATGGATTAATGAGAAGGAATCTGAGCGTTGGCGGCAGGAAAAGCCCTCCTGCTCGAAATCTATGCAAACCAAAGTCGACAAATATCGGGGACAAAATTACTTAAGGCTTGCGAAACTGTGTCCCACGTTCTAGTGTAACTAATGCAAAAAAAATCGACAAATATCGGGGACAAAATTACTTAAGGCTTGCGAAACTGTCTCTCTATTTCTAGTGTAACTAATGCAAACCAAAATTGACGAATATCGGGACAAAATTACTTAAGGCTTGCGAAACTGTCTCTCTAGTTCTAGTGTAACTAATGTATAAGCTTGTATTTAGTAGGAATAAGAATGACTTGGGAGCGAGTCAGACGATGAACGAGTGGCAAAGTTCAGTCGGCGGGGTCACCGAGCACCTGGACATATCACTCGGTGATGACGACCGGGCATGTTGGCACAATGTTCTGGCGATTGTAATGTCGCAACCCAAGCGAAGCTGATCGGATTTAGATTTGGCTATAAGCCTAAAGATCGTTATGTTACGATTAGCCCAGCAGATATTATTAATGTCCCTAAACCTGAGAAAACCGGCGTAACAGATAAAACATATGAACAGTGTTCGAAGCTGGTCCTAGGCGGCGTCTGGCTGTCCATAAGCATCGTAAAGCTTCGCAAAGATTTCTGGAGTCACTGGCTCTTTTCTGTTGGGGCTTGTGGCTAGAAGTCTACTGTAACCTCGGAGGGCTGTTTTCACCAATAGACGATCCGTAGGCGATGGCAGGCCGATGCGGCTATGCACCCAGTTCGCTGTGGCCGCAGAAGAGTCGGCTGTGAACTTGCTAGCTGCCAGTGCCAAACAACGAAAAGGGCAAAGTCCATGGGCTTGATGGGAAACGCCTGGGTGTTATCCTTCGATGAAGTCCAACGCTCTCACTGCCTCCAACTGGCGCTGTACTTCTTTGTTGTAGATTCTGCCCTTGCAGACATCAGCAGCTTAGGCAGAGTGCTTGGGGTAAGCCTGCGGATCTTAGGGTCGTTGGGGTCGTGTGCCGTCGTGGCCCATCTGTCTAGGCAATTCGGAAAAGATAAACCAGCAGCGAGATGTTCTAAAGCCCTGGCGTAAAAGCAGCGACAGCGAGCAGCGAAATGTGCTAAAACCCTGGCAGAGTGCTTGGGGCCGGGACAAGCCTGCGGATCTTAGGGTCGTTGGTGTCGTGTGCCATCGTTGCCCATCTGTCTAGACAAATCGGAAAAGATAAACCAGCAGCGAAATGTGCTAAAACCCTGGCGTAAAAGCCGCGGCAGCCAGCAGCCAAATGTGCTAAAACCCTGGCGTAAAATCTCGACAGCCAGCAGCGAGATGTGCTAAAACCCCGACGAGAAAGCCCCAACAGCCAGCAGCGAGATGTGCTAAAACCCTGACGTAAAAGCCTCGCCAGCCAGCAGCGAGATACGCAAAAACCCCTGCGTAAAAGCCTCGACAGCCAGCAGCGAGATACGCAAAAACCCCTGCGTAAAAGCCTCGACAGCCAGCAGCGGGATGCGCTAAAACCCTCGAGTAAAAAGCATCGATTTGCAGAGCAGAATTGCCCATGCAGTATATAGAGCTCAGCGTTTCAAACCAAGCAAGCGACATTCTGGAGGGAAGGCCAACGATTCAACCGATGAAACAGCGCTTTGGGGCTGGGGGGTTGTTTGTTTGGTTTGGTTTGGTTTGGTTTGGTTTGGTTTGGTTTGGCTTGGCTGGGTTTGGTTTGGTTTGGTTTGTTTTTTGTAGGTGGCCGGCTTTGGGGTTGCAAGGTTAATCAAGTCAACCGAGAACGAATTACAAAAAAGAACCCTTTCCCTAAATAGGCTATAGAGGAATGCATTACGTAATGGTATCCTGCGCGCTCACCTGCCGTGCGATAACGAAAAGAAAGATAACGTTTAATCGAAAAAAAAAACTGTGAAGCGCTTTGCCATTTCCAGGACTCGCTCATCAGTTTGGCGAAGCAGCAAGCTTCCGGAACCTTCACAAGGTCCGCCTATAGGGATTTTAGATGGGGCTGTCCTGTCACGTTTGATAATTTTTGAAAAAAAAATTAAGGTTCCTGACACATTCCTAAGAAACAGGAATGTCATTATTTGACGTTTGTGTTCCTCAAGTATTAATTCGGAAAAGTCACATACAGTTAGGTAAAATACGAAATTCAATAACATTTCACTAACGGTAACATCGTTCCTCGGTCTCCTTGGTCGTAAACGTTTGGTTTCATTTCATGAGCTTACATGGAAGTGATGATTTACCTACCTGAAGTTGATTGATTCAGTGGAGTCAACCTTACACCATTCCTGTCGACTCGTTTATGCTTAAATTAGACTTTAGAATATTTCGCAAACGAAAAATATTTCTTTAAGTTTATTTCTTTATAAATTGTAAAATTGTATTTTTTTCCTGTTTTCATTTGAGCTTTTTACCCAATGACTAGCCGTGTTAAACTGTTCATCTTCGTACAAGAATAACGAATAAGCTATTTACGAGTTAAATGTGAATAAAATCTGGTACACTGAGTTGCATAATTGAACATAAGCATAACATTTTGAATTCCCCAGACTAAAGACGCTTTTGCTATACCTCTTGATTCAGGGCAAGCTTTTGCAAAGACTTGCAACCACCATCTCTGGAATGGACTGGCTCCTTTGTGCCCTTTTTACTCATGGAGAAGAGTGTACTGTTGCAAGGCGTCCTTTATGTAACTAAGCGAAAGCCCCGATTAACGAGGTACAGGAACGGCGGTTTTAGTATGGAGAATTCAAATTGTTATGTTCACGTGAATTTAAGGAATTCAGTGTACCAGGTTTTATTCAAATTTAACTCGCAAAAAGGCTTATTGCACTGGTTTTCATGTATTTTATATACAGTGAGAGTTCACATTTTGGCAGGTTATTTCTTTTTGATCAAATTATTTTTCAGTTTCTATAAATTAATATGGTAGCAAATATTTTACAAAGGACTTTTTTCGGGGTGATTTTTTAAAGAAGTAAAAATACGACAAAACGAATTTGAAAATTGTTGCAGGTTATTTTTGCTGTCCAAGAGTTCTGGAAAAGCACCACCAGGATTAATTTTCAAGCTCCTTTCTTGCATGTGCAAAAGACATGTTTCCCGAATTCAACTTTGGTTCAGTCTTGAATTTACACTATAAATCTAAAAGCGTGCATGGCCACTATGCGACCGTTGCGGCCAAGCTCCCGAGACTGTCGATTGAACTTGCAAAAGACTGTAATTTGGAAGGTGGCCACTGCCATGGGCCAAGTGCGTAAAGTTGCAGTCAAGTACATCGGGCATGGCTTTATACTGAATTTGAAAGACATACTCGGTCGGACAAGAGTAAAAGAAACCCCAACCATTAAAAAGAAATGACTATTTTGTGTGGCTGGTCAATGTTTGAAGAAAGTTTAGTTTGGAGGAGAGAGTTTCTCCTTTTTCCACATTTTGTTTCTTGTCAGACGTTACAGACACGTCGTGGAGCGAAGAAGGGATAGTGAGACATGTGAATCAAAGATTTACAAGGAAGACCCAAAAATAGTACACTGAACAAATGAGATTGTACGCACACTTCCAGAAGGTATTGATGTAAATACTACCGTTCTCGCGTTAGCGAGCGGGGAAGGGTAGTTAGCAAAGTTAGTTAACCCTCAAAGAGCGGGGGGGGCGGAATACCCCTGTTGATTTTTTCTTAAAACGTCTCTAAGATTATTTTCTGCGTGCTAATACTTTATTACAATTTATTCAAATGTTTTAGGGTCATTTTGACCCCAGATTTATGAAAATCGGACATGGCGTTCTGTGTCAGCGACGAATTTTAGAAGGCAGGGTGAAGCGTGGCGTGAAATCTACCATGACTTTGTACACAGCAGTACACCGTACACAGGACAGAGTGGTATCCTACCATGAATAATTAATTAGTCATAATTATGCAAAGATTTAATCAATTTACATGAAATTTCACACAGATGATAAGTATGGATGCT